GGGCTGGAGCCGGGCGCTTCCCGGAGCGTGTTTGTGTAGGGACATGGCGAGTAGGCAGTAGCCCCGCACTACGTTTTTGTTTGGACTGAGCCGGATAAGCCGTTCGGGAGTTGCTCGGATTTTTTAATTAAATCTCCGCTACGAGGAGAATGCCGGACGGACCGAGGGGGGGGGGGGCGTAAGGGGTCGGAATAAAAAGCGGGCGTGTGTGCTTCCAGCGTATTGGAGCGCGAGGCGTGCGGCGTAGAGAATCGATCCCCCGGGCAGCGGCCTTACTGTATACGGTGTCTCGGGTTCAAGCACCACCACCGGACCACCGGGCTTTTCTTTTTGTCGAAATAAGTGATGATAGGGTCAGGGGGGGTAATAAATGCACAAAATCAAATCTTTCTCATTTGCAGCTAAAGTAAACTGCTGCTAAAGGTTTCGGACACTCAAGAAGATGAAAAAATAATCACAGCACACTTTCCATGTGATAAATAGTCCAAAAAGTCAATCGTTTCCTTGTAATACGGAGAAATCAGTGTGCATTTCTTCCCCTCCCCGTGGCTAAAAAATGCACACCTGAGGGTAAAAAATGCACATGCCTAAAACCAGCTAAAATGAAGTAATAATGAAGACTTTATAACATGATTCGACTTATTTTGATGAAATAAAACGAAATTGTTTTATGTCATAAGACGATCCGAATCGAAATGACAAAGTTACTGGCCCTCAAAGACAGGTCGGGGACGGTTTTGCCAGTTCTGTCAACTTTGGGTGCTAATGAGCCTGTAACTCTGTCCCTAACCGTCTCGCCTTGCATAACATATGTTCATAAACTGTTTACATGAAATATATGTATCGTATCACCTGATACTTGTGATAAATGTGCTAAATTAAAGAAATTACATGAAATTTAGTGAGTTTTCCACGAGCATTGCCCGACAAAACACGTGCATTTATTACCCGCAGAGTGTGCATTTCTTAGCCGCACGGGTGTGCATTTATTAGACGTTCTATTCAAACGTTAATTGTGGAAAGACGGTTCAAAATTTCGGAAATCTGGGCACACCATCAGATTCAGGGCACTTCAAACTGTTATTCAGCACTTGGGTTGTAATGTAAGTCCGTTTTGAATGAGTTTTTGAAACAACTTTTCACGTCAGGGCGGGAAAGTTTTAGGGGCGCGATCTTGAGGCCTTGTTTTAGATTTATTTTAAGAATGGAGGAGATAGTTCTGTTAAAAACGAATTAGATCACTGAAAAGTTGAAATCACGAGCTTTCAATTGATATAGGTACTGTCCTGTTAAAGGAATTCGAAAGGTTTGAAAATTGAGTGTGCATTTATTACCCACTTTGGGAGTGTGCATTTATTACCCCCCTTGACCCTACACTTGTTGTTTTGCTTGCTCTTGTGAGTGCACCTGCGCCTCTTCACATGTCCGAAGGTGTCTTGGCGCGCGGATAGTGTAATGCACACTGTGATCGTGCGGCCCACTTGTAGGTGAGGGCACTGATAACGCACTACCTATTAGGGGGCGTCGATCTGGCACGACTTTCGATTTCGACTTTTGGATAGCACCAAAAAGTTTCGCTTTTTAGTGCTGATTCCAGAAATGACCTCGTTTTTACGATTGGACAGCTCATCGATTCCCTACCGGACGTTTTAGGCGAAAAAGTGATGTTTTTGTCCTTTTTCAGACTTCTAGGCCGCTAATTACATCTTGAACCGTCGGGGTGGCTCTTGCATGGTCGAGTGGTCACCTCTGGCAGTAAAGACATCCTTTGCAGCTCAGCCGAGCCACCGGACACCTTCTAAATGTGACCTAGACCTCAATTTTCATGCTTTTGTCGCTGAAAGTTAATGTTTCTACAATGATTTTTGAGCTTTCTTCGGTGTTACTGACGACCCAGTCAGTCTGTACCATGACCAAAGGTTTTAAAAAGGAGTACTGGGGTAAGAAGGACACAACTCAGCCCCCGGCCCGTGGCTGGGTTGCACAGGGATAGGGAAAAGGAGGGGGGACGAATTCCCCAAATCGGCCAAAATCAGCTGCACTTGCAGTGCGCCCAGTAAAAACTGTAATAGCTTGCAGGTCTTAGCTCAGCAAGTGTTTCTACTTTCAATGCTCTTTTGAAGACATTTATAAAAGACTTCCACCACAACAATGACGCCGTTGGGGGAGGCGTGGAGGGGACGTCGTAGGAAATAATGCAATAGTAGACGCGCTACTGACGGGTCTACCACTTCCCAAGCCGGTGTGCAAGGAGTTTCGCGAGTATCCACGAGTATTGGCGAGTATACGCGAGTATTGGCAAGTATCCGAGAGTATGCGCGAGTACTCAGGAGTATTTCTCGATTTTTTCCACTAGTTTTCGCGAGTTTTCAGCGAGTAGCCGGGAGTTTTTCGCGAGTAATCGCGAGTAACAGCGAGTATCTTGCGGGTATTGTTCCTCGTGTACAACGAGTCTTTTAGTGGTGGACCCCTCGTGCGCTACACTATTGGTTGTGGCAAATCTTTCGCACGCCATGCCACTTGGTACACGGCAAGATATGACCAAAATAAGGGATTTGACCTAAAGAGGCATAAAATTTCCCTTAGGAGCAAAGTGATAAGCCTTTTAATGTAGTACCAGTGCACCTTACGGGAGGTCCGGGTTGGCAACCGGGCGCACACCAGCCCCCTTTTTCCGCACTCTCGCCGCCCTTAAACGTCCATATCTCAGCCAAAAATTAATAGTTTGGGAAACTTTTTGCTTGTTTGTGAAGAGGGGGCTTCAAGGAACATTATGAAATCGCGAAGGAGTGTGTGCGTCCTTTACTTTAGCCAGGCGGTCGTGCAAAGGTCCAATTTTCGGTCGAAATAACACCTCACCGTTCCAGGGACTTGAACAGCCGTCTGGAATCGTGAGAAATGTGTGACCTGAAGCCCTAAAGTCAGGTGAACACGCTCATGTAAAAATATTTATACTGCCTCCTCTTTACAAACAAAGAAAGTTTCCGAAAATATTAATTTTTGGCTGAGATATGGGCGTTTAGGGGCGGCGAGAGCGCGGAAAAGAGACTGGTGTGTGCCCGCTTGCCTACCCGGACCTTCCGTAAGGTGCAACGGTAGATTTAAAGGCTTATCACTTTATTCCAAAGGGAAGTTTTTGATGCCTCTTCGGGTCAAATCCTTTATTTTGGTCATATCTTGCCATGTGCCAAGTGAAATGGCATCGCGCGCGAAAGATTTGCCACCTTCGCCATATCACCAACAAAATTTATGTTTCCTCCTTTGCAGCCGATAGCGACGGTCTGACAATCCCCGCCGATGACCCTCCCGCCCCCGCCGCGGGCGCGCCCTCCTTGGGCGAGCGGGCCCGCGCGTGGAACAACTTCGGGCCCGCCCCCGCCAGCTCAACAGCTGGGAGCACCACCAGCGGCGAGGGGTGCCAGACCCCGGACGAGAGGACGGGACGGGCGCGTGCATCCCCGTGACGCAGTGCCCGCCACTGGTGGCGTTGCTCAGGAACAAGCCCGTGTCCAAGGAGAACGTGGAGTTCCTCCAGAGGAGCCACTGCGGCTTCCAGATCAGCACCCCGCTGGTAAGGACCCCACCACCCCCGCGTCCACCCACGCGTGCACGGGCGCAATTTTTACCGAGTGATTGAAATCATTTAACAGAAATTTAAGAACTTGAAGCTTTTTATGAAAGTATTAGTAGTAATGTAAAAAAATGTACTTGAGAAATTTCAATTTCTCCCTGAATAATTTACGAGTGATGTAGAAAATTAAGTTATTATTTAGGGAGAAATTGAAGTTTGTATTTCCGCGCCTTTGAGACGGAATCCTCTCTGCCCCTCTGCAGGTGTGTTGCCCCAGGACGGCTGACCGCGTGCCCAACCGGCCGCACCCGCCCCGGCCGCACCCGCCCCGGCCGCAGCCGCAGCCGCAGCCGCGACCCACCCCGCAGCCCACGCGACGGCCGCCGCCCCGGCCGGCCGAGGGCGACGCCAGCGCCGGCCACCGCAACATGCACCTGCTGCCAGTGGGCGAGTGCGGCATCCAGACCAGCGAGCGCATCTTCGGCGGCAACGAGACGGACCTCGGAGAGTTCCCTTGGATGGCGCTGCTGCAGTACAGGAATCGTGAGTATGCCGACGACGACGTGGGCGGCAGGGCCTCGCACAGTGGGCGGAAACGCCCCAAACACGGGATTAATTCGAAATTTTAAAGTTTTGATTTTGCACTGTTTGGTGATGGAGATTTTTTGTTAAAGGACCAAACCACAAGGTTCTGAAGCCAAAAATCCGATCCGAACCCTGGTGGCTGCTCAAAAAAATCACGAAGTTGAAGTTTAGATGTGCCGTAAAAGTTGAGGGATTTTAAGGCTATTTGCGCAGTCAGAAACTCACGCACTGACACTTATTTGTCGATGTATATTGACCCATATAGCTTGTCCGGACTATGAAGTTTCATTTCCAGCCCGCGAAAGCCAAAGGGGAAGTGCACGAAAGAGAAAATGTCGATAGAACTTAGAAATCACAAATAACGTAAGTTACCCTTATTCAATTTGAGATAAGTTACGAATCGGACCATATCGGATTCTGTGCATACGTTTAGTAAGTAGTCTTATCTATAAAAGAACGATGGAAACTGAGATCTCTTCCGAAAACGTCCGATCCTACGAATGGTGACTATTCAACTGAACGCTTGTACGACTGTCCGCTTGGTCCCGTCGCGCGCTGCGCACACAACTGAAGCCTGGGGCTGCAGCGCAGCCGGTCCGACTCAGACGGCGCACAGGTGTCGAATCTTTGGTACGGATCGGAAGCCCCTAGCTCCACTACTTTACCAATTCTGAGGCATTTCTAGACAGAATAGCGTGAAATCGAGTAATTTCATAAAATAGAAAGATATTCTTTTATTTCTAGCTTCCAAACCATTCGCCCTACCAAGATACTATTTTGCATTCATATCTAGATCAGCTAGGAGTACTTCCAAAAAAAAATCATGAAAAAATGTTTGGACCGATTTTTCATATATTTGACTTAACAGTTCAGTTTCAAAGTCCAAAAATGAACCTAAAGTTTTGGAAAAAATAATTTTTTGCCCAACTTATTCTTTTTTTGTTTCTGAACATGTGGTATGAATCGAAAGTCCCTGGGTGCCTCCCTTCACACCCTTCAATGCTGAATAAGATGCAATTTCACTGAAAAGACAGAAAACGCTTTACTGGCTATATCTAGCGAACGGTAGCACCTAGGCCAACCAAACTTGCAGAGGTTTCTCTCCTAGCCAAGAGGACTCTATCAGAAAAGTTTAGTCGGAATAGTAAACTATGAGAGGAAACACTGTGCTCCCCGGATAGGTAATCAGTCCCTAATCATCAAGACCTAGTGCCCCCACATGTCCATTTCACTAAGAGTTCAAAAGAGCACTACAAGTTTAGCCAAAATCCAAATTTTCATGAACATCCGACACCGACAACCATTTAATCCCGTGTTTGGGGCTTTTCCGCCCACTGTGCCTCGCTCCAATCCCGACTTCCAGGGTTTCCTGCGTCTCTCTCGCACCAGAGGGCGTCTTACGGGGAGAGAGAGAGACAGAGATACAACCCTGAAAGTCGGAAGTGGACAGGCACTGGCCCAGTCCAGACCAG